ATAAATAACAGGTGATTGCGAAGACCATGGCCTGTATCAGACGCACCTTAGTCTCCAAAGAGATACCATTGCTCTTCAGCACTTTGGAGAGGCCCCTAACAGCAGACTTTCCCATTGCAATGCGCCTTTTAATTTCCTGGCTGCTGGTGCCAATTTTGAGGTGAAAATATGTACGTTGCGTCATATTACGTTCTTAGTAGTTCTTTCAGTTTTCCTAATCTTTGCAGCACTGAGTTTCTTCTCTCAGAAATTGGTACTACAGACACCTCAAATATTAATTTTGTAAATTAAATTATTGAGCAGTGCAAACTTTTTCTACAATTGTCATTAGCTATTAAACAGATCTGTTTCAATTCACTGTTTTATACACATACACACACACACACACACACACACACACACACACACTCTCTCTCTAGATTTAAGGTAGAGCAAATGCCATTCTAAGCATATTAATGAATTATGGTTATACAGGTCTTATGTCGTATGGGCAAGATTTCTGGGCTCTGCTCCTCCGTCATCTCTAAATTTTTCTTCCACTTTAATTAAGGGTATTCCTTCTATAAAAAAAATCTTTAAAAAGGAAGATTAGTTTATATGATATTAAAAGATACAAGAATACTCCTGAAACTACTAAGAGTTTAAACTTTAAGTTAAAGATTTGAAAGACTACATTTGTTCCATTTCTGATACTTACCTCCATCACCTGGAAAGAGTTTTTGATGTGAAATATTTCATGAGACTTTTCCAGTTGTATTCACTGATAAACACACATTGACTTAGATTTAAAACAAAACCAAACCATTTATGTTGTAACTTTTTTTCAAGAATATGCTAGAAAAAGTCTTCATAAAATTATTTTTCAAATTATCATCTGTCTATCCTAAAAGCCGTCTAAAATTTTTTACAACAACACTCTGGCCTAGTCTTCTTCCTATGCTAGATTGCTCAAAACCTCTTTATCAGTGCAATTTTATTAAGTCCTAACAGAAAGTTTAAGTGCATACCTTCACTGATAAAAAAATTAACTGGTTAGTAATTTTGTTGTCAGAATAATAGGGAATGGGGAAAGAACAGCACAGTGAGTATCAACATTTTTAACCCTTTAGCACGTTGAGGAGGGAAAAATATCTCCCATCTTTCCATAGTGTAGGCAGACTCTGAAAGAGAAAACACAGTATTGCATTAGTTAACACAGTTGGGGCAAAAACATTGTGTCAGTAATCAGGCGAAACAGTTTTGTTTTTTAAATTTTATTATTTTGTGTGTGTACCGTCAAATTGGATCTGACAGGAAGAGGAGGAGACTGCCCCTCCTTCTCCAGCAGAGCATCTGGTGGATTTGAACCTCACACCTCGGGGATTGCAGTACAGCTTCTTGCCACTCAGGTGAAACAGTTTTCAAAGAGTAACTTTGGTTAGGTTTCTTAGTTGGATTTTTTTTTTAAAGTAGTTACAGTAAGTGTATTGGGGGCTGGGGGAAGTGCAGCCAGAGGACTACTTGGAGCCAAGAATGGGAAGCTTCGTCTCGTATACTTAGGGCATGTTGTTAGGAGAGGCTGTTCCTTGGAAAGGGATGTCCTACTTGGAAAGGTGGAAGGTTGGCCATAGAGTAAGACCCTTAAGGAGATGGACTGACACAGTAACTGCATTGCCCAGGACAGGGCAAGATTCAGATCTGTTGTTCCCTATGAGCCGGACTCAACTGGATGGCACCGAATAACCACCACGACCATAAAGGTAAACTTCTAATGAACGTCTCAAGTAATCAGCGCGCGCGTAATCGCTCGCGCATATGGTATCAATCAGTGATACTCTGCAACTGACCGCCAGTAATGGGTATACCTATCATCAGTATTCTCTTTCTGTACCTCTGCGCTTTTGTGGGCCGGTATGAAGACGCAGCTTGAAAGAGTGTGTGAATGAGAGTGAGTGAGTGTGTGTGTGTAGATGCAGCTTGAAGTGTGTGTTTGTGTGTGCGAGTCCGTTGTTAATTCTTTACGTCTCTCCTGGGCTTAATTAATTGCAAGGCGAAAGCTTTGTGCCTTTCCAGCGCGGCTACCTTCCAACATTAATTTCTTTGCACTAATTTTCAACTCATTCTTGCATAAAGAATCACAAGGAGGGTTTGGAACCTTGCGAGGGAGGCGAATAATGACATGAAGAGAAAAAAGAAACTGAAGAGGTATCTCTATTCCTAAGTAGGAGGCTTGCTTCCGCCCGGGGTCCTCGCATCTCAACAAAGACTTTAAACGGCCGAATGGTCTAATAAAGCCCGTTAAAAGAAAGATCCAATGCCAAAAGTATATCGACTCTCTTAAATCCTTAATTACGAAACAGAAAGAGGATCAGGGCAGTAGGCATTCCATCCAGACCGTGAGGTCAAGCAGCCTTTGGCCCAAAAGGCCACGACTCTGGCTTCAGACCCGCCCTACAACCAACTCCCAGAGCGGCCAGCACCTCTAGTTCCTATAGTCGTAGATTTGCACCCGAAGCTTACCCATCGACCCATTGTCCACCGCACAGGCTCTACAATACCATCACTTGTCCTGGCGCTCCAAAAAGCCCTCCGCAGGGCTCCGCTAAGTCGTCCCAGCACCCCTAATATGGCGGCCTAGTCCCCTTCGCAGGCTCAGGGCGCGACCGACCTTGGTGCATCTCGGGCATTGTAGTTCCGGCGAGTGTCTAAATGCTCCCATCAGGCCGTAAGTAGACTACAATTCCCAGAATGCAACACTCATGAGCATGGCTATTGGGGCCTTTTGGGTAGAGGGATGATGTCATTGCAAAAACCCCACTGCATTCATTGTGCAAAGATCTATGCACCCTCCCACCCCCCCCCCCCTCCCGTCCGCTGCTGCTGCTGCTGCTGCTGCCTTCGCCGCTGCCACTGCTGCTGCTGCTAGGCTTGCGATTGCCGCTCGCTCCAGCTGAGAGTAGCAGCAGCACCAGGGTAGGAACTGGCTCCAGTCCTTGGACTTGGGACATCGCTGCATCTTCCTTTGCGTGCGTGACTCATTCGCACATCACTTCTGTGTATGTCTGGGGTGGGGAGAAAAATCCCAAACCAGGTGAGTTGAAGTGATTTATTTATTCGCATGGTTCTTCTAAGTTATTCCTTCTGCTTAGTTCTCAAGGCTTTCTTTTGGGAAGGTGGGGATGGGAGGGACTGGGGCTGGTAGTGCTGGTAGGCGCTGCTGAAGGAAAAGCTCTGTGCAATTTGGGTCACTGCAAAGAACTCCAGCAACCTTCCCCCGCCAGAGGACGAGTGCCAGCCAATTCCCTAGTCGCAACTCCCCTCTACCTTTTTGAGGCTGGGAGAGGGGGCTGGGCTGAGCAAGATGTTGGGAAGTGCTCTTGGAAAATCTGTGGAAGGCTGAGGCGGGGGGCTGCGGTCCTGTCACTTGCAGTCCACTGCTGAGGTTTGAGTGGGAAGGGGTGATGCGTGGGGAGGAATGGAGAATGTGATTTAATGTGGTTGCACTACTTTCGAACATTTCCACGTCGCTTGGATGAGCACACACTATTTTTAAGATGAGCATGTTTCTTTTGAGTAGGTTAAGTTTTGTGGGGCTTTATTTTATGAGTGAGGGTCTTTGTCGTTAGCGTTGCCGTTGCTGTTGATTTGAGGTGACAGTGTCCTTTAATGGTGCACTCTGCACCAGTCAGGAACATTTCACGTGTCTAGGGAAGGTTCTTCTAGGCTGCCGGAAGCAGCATTTTTGTTAAGTGTTTTTCTCATCTCCTGACTGCAGGATTTCGGGGTTATTTGGAAGTGAAGCCGACAGATTTGTGCTTGTGCGAGTGTTTTAAATTATATTGCAATAGGCTCCTTGGCACTGACAATAGTACTGTAATAAGCTGCCGTTTCCTGAGGCACAGTCTCCAGTATAAGTAACGGTTTGAAGAAAAGATTGATTAGGAAAACCTCGGGTTTATTTTAACAGGTTGAAGTTAGCAGTGCTGTTTACAGTCATTTGGCAGCACTGGCAGGTGCCCATGGAAGTACAACCCTGGGTAGGGAAACCAGAGTGTGATAGTAGGATTTTTGTTTGTTTTGCTTCTTAATCAAACTGACACATTTAGTAGGACAGAGGCATTGTCATGATGTTGGCTCTCTTCTTGTAGGAGTCACAGGGATGAGTGGTGCAATAAATATGTTACTTTGAGATAAACAGCAGAGTGGCTCCAGAACAGATGGGGCCCGTCTTAGTTGGGAGATCTATAACTGTGGAAATGAATGGACTTGGGGGTCAATCACACCTCCTCTTGGAATGTCAAAAGAAGAAGGATTGCCAGATTATTTTATCGTTAACCTGAAAATCTTAAGCCTTTTCATAGTTTAGTCAGGGATTTGGGAGAAATCATTGACATCTACTGCTGAACCAATTTTGCTAATTTTTAATTCAGACCCTTAGGGTTTCAGTGGTACTTTGTTAAACGCTGCTTGGCCTAGTGTTAAGAAGCTGTGCTGCAATCCCAAGGGCATGTTGTTCAAATCCACCAACTGCTCCATGGGAAAAGGTTGGGCATTCTCCTCCCCTGTGATTTACTGCCCTATGAAAACACACTGGAGGGTCAGCTGTGAGTTCCAACTCGAGGTTACACAACAACAACCACAACAACAACAAAGAATGCAAGCAAGAGAAAGATGTGGCAGTCAGCTTCCCAAAAGATTTGTAGCCTTTGATAGCTTGGGGGTATAGTTCTCTTCTGTCTCAAAAGGTAGGTAGGAATCAGAATTTTACTTGCGTCTTTTTTTTTTTTTTAAGAACAACACACCTTTAAAAAACTTGAGTATTATATAGCTTTTTCTTACATTATATTTTGTTCCGTACAATGAACTTTTTCCCAGGGTTTGGCTTTACCCAGTGGGTTTGACAGAACGTGAAGACCAGGCCATGGTATGGGTTTTGTGGTAGGATAATTTACTGGATGGTGTGAGTAGCTTTGGGAATTGGGAAAGGATTAACTGTCTGCCTTTACCTCTCTCTACCTCTCTTCTGCTCACCATCAGCTCTTTGAGTGTCCTTCCCTCTCCCTCTTTTCCCCCACACCCTATGCCTTTCTATGTTCTCCCTTGTCTTTTCCTCGTTCCTCCAGTTGCAGTTCTTCTTTCCATATCTGTTATCTCCCCTTTATCAGCACTGTATCACTTATCTTTTTCTGAGTTCTCTTTCAGATTTCTAAACATCTTCCCCTCCTCTTCTCCACCTCACCAGGAACTCAGGATGAGTGTAGACTATGTGACTACAAACGCATGTCGTTCCCCCCCCCCACTGGCACCTATATTAAAAACTGCTGGTGGTTTTTCAGGGTTTTAAATGCTTTACATGAATTGCTCTCCTAATTCTCAAAGAATAAACAAAGCAATTTTTAGACTTACTTAATACTTTCTTTTGTTTGTTTTGTTTTTATGCCCATTTTCCAATGAATAGTTGAAAAAAAATTTTTAAATCCTTTATCTTGTTGGCCTAGTGAGTAAGGAATTCCACTGCCAACCCAAAGGCAGGTTGTTTGAATCTGCCAGCTTCTCTGCTGGAGAAAGATGGGCAAACTCCCTCCATGCAGTTTGCAACTTGAGTTTCCATCCAACTCCAAGGTACATAACAACAACTTCCTGTCCCCTGTTGATTGCTGAGAGAATCAAGTATTCAAACTCCCTATTTACTATTTTGTAGATACTTGGACAGACCATGTTCCTTCCTGTTTCTTCTTTCTATTTTATACTTCCCTCTTAAGGAGAAGGTTGTGGTGATATTTTTGTTTACTCTCAGTACAACTGGTGTGATGGGCAAATTCAGAAATTGTCCTCTTAGGTCTTTTTCTCATCACCTTTCTTTTTCAGAAATCTTCCCTCGCCCTCTCAGGCTTTTTCATGTTTTAGGAGTTGAATAGTTGATTTGGCCCTTTACTGCTATCTCTAACTTTGGATAACCATGAATTTCTTCCTGCCTCTTTTTATTTTTATTGTTATACTGGTTTAATTTACAAAGTTTGTATACATTGTTTTTCACATTGGATCTTTCCCATTTGCTTCTCTCATCGTCCTTCCATCCATCAAATTGTGCAACCCTATGATTAATCACTTCTACCCCTACCCTGCCCCTTCCCCCTCCCCCCTTGGATCCTTATGTTCTACAATAATGATCTTATACAATTATTTGTCCTTATGGGACTGAGTTAGTTCACTTAGCATAATGCTCTTCAGTCCCTCCCAAGTTATGTAGTGATTTACAAAATCACTGCTCCTGAATGCTGTGTAGTATTCCATTGTATGAATGTACCATAATTTCTCAATCCATTTGATTGTCGTTGGACATCTGGGCTGTTTCGATGTTCTTATGATGGTGAATAACGCTGCTATGAACATTGGTGTACAAGACTGCTTTTATGCCTCAGTTCTCATTTTCTTGGGGTGTATTTCAAGCAGTGCTCCTGCCTTGCTTTGCATACTTGCAGTAGTGCAGTGATCCTTTTCCCTTAGTTGATTTGAACTGAAATTGCAGCACTCAGTAATCTGGTCCAAACCTTTTATTCTTGCAACAAATATTAATCGAGCAACTAAGGTGTGTGGAGAGTCCCTTCCTGAGTTGTGCAGACAGTTAATGTGCTCAGCTGCTAACTGAAAGATTGGAGGATTGAGTTTAAACATTTAGCTAGAATAAATAAAGCACCTTGGAAGAAGGGCCTGATGACCTATGTCTGAAAAATCAACCACTGAAATTTTTAGGAAGTATGCTTTTCTTTTCTGAGGTCCCTGTGGTTGCCATGACTCAGAATCAAGTATACAGCAACTGGTTACTATGTGCTATAGGCACTGTGGATACTTCAGTGGAAAGATACATTATAGTTTGTATTCTAGTAGAGAAGGTTAATCACAAGTGTGATGAATGCTACTATAAAAGTGCAATGGGAATACCTAACATGAGGACTCAGGGAGGTGAGTTTAGGAAATGGCATTTCTTTTCTGTAAGAAGTGGTTTACTTTTTTCCCAACTCATTATTATTATTTTAATGAAAGTTTACAGAGTACATTGGTTTTCGATTGATACACATTTTGTTTGATAACATTGCTTACAATTCCCACATTGTTACAGATTTTCCCCCACTTCCTGTGGCACTTGTTTCTGTGAATCCTTTTATCCAGCCTTTTTCAGTCTTCTGAGCTTTATCTCTGGGCAAATGCTGCTCTTTTGGTTAATTTGTTGTAAGGAATGAATGAATATCTCTTTGCTAGTATTGTTTACTTTATGTTAAATTATTGTTGTTATGTGCTGGTGACTTGTAAGCAACCCACAGATGACCCTCCAGTGAGTTTTCAGAGGCTGTAAATTGCTTAGGAAGAGATGGCCCGTCTTTCTCCTGTGAAGCAGCTGGTAGATTCAAACTGCCTGCCTTTGGGTTAGCAGCACAGCTCTTTACCTGTTAGGCCACCAGTGCTCTGTTCATTTTTTGTTATTGTTGTGTGCCCTTGAGTTGGAACTGACCCATAGCTGATCCTTTAGCAGATTTTCAGAGGCAATAAATCGCATGGGAGGAGATTGCCCATCCATCCCCCGTGGAACAGCTGGTGGTATAAAAACCCTGTGCCTTTGGGATTGCAAGCCATCTTTTTACCACTAGAGCTCTCTGTCTGTTTTATGAGTCTGTTTTGTTTATTTGGCTGATAATTGTGCTACAGGAGTAAATTCAGTTCCAGATTCAAAGAGTGGTCATGACCTTGGGAGTTCTATCAGGCCAGTAAGGCATGTTTATGATTATGAGTTTTGTTCTACATTTATCTTTCACTTAATCCAGGACTCTCTATTGTGATCCTTTTCAGAGTGGTCAGCAATGGTAACTGGCACCATCCAGTTCTTCAGAAGTGACTTTGAAACTTAGATAGTGAGTGGGAATAATTAAAGATGTGTTGGGAGGTACTTGGAAGGGATGTAGGGTTCCAGGTACAGGTATACAGGCATGTAAGTATGAAGATTTTATAAGAGGTCAGTGAGTCTATGGGCCAGAGCAAGGAGGCAGACCAGCATAAATAAGAATGCAGCAGGAGAGGTGGGCAAAGGCTGGAGAG